AATTAATTTAATTAAAATTACAAAAATTATAAATTAGAGAATTTCAAATATAATTAAAATATATAATTTTTCTCTAAAAAAAATGTGACATAAAAGGAAAAACGAACTAAAACTACGATATAAATAGAAAATGTAGGACCAATGAAGTATTTAAGTATAAAACCTAAACACTATCCTAAATCTAATGTAATATAAAAATACATAATATGATATTTATTTTTCTTAATATATAATAATAATAATAATAATAATAATAAAAATAAAAATTTGAATCAAAACCTTTAAACAAACAGAGTCCTATGGTATGCATATATTTGTAACGCTATAGATCGCTACTTGAAATGACATTTGTACCCCTCAAAGTGTGAAATTGCATTTTCTGTCTCCGTCCAAATTTATGATTTACACTTCTTTCTTTATCCAATGTCATTTACAGAGTGAATTGTTCTTATAAATTTTTTTTTGTTGATTTGGGTTGCTTCCTTCATCAATTTTTTTTCATGTATATTTATGTTTAATTATATCCATATAAATTAATTTTAAAATTAAATTAAAAAGGAAAAAATATATTAATATGTGTTTATGTTTATTTATATCCATATAAATAATTGTTAAATTAAATTAAAAAGAAAAATATATTTATATACATATCATATTGTAGAAAAAATATATATACCCTCCGTCCCGGTGCAAGGTTGTCGTTTACTTTTTACACGTAGATTATTTAATATTGTCCCGGTGCAAGGTTGTCGTTTACTTTTTACACGTAGATTATTTAATATTAGTATTATAATAAATTGTAGTGAAAAAGACGAAAATACCCCTATTAGTATTGTGTAATATAAAAGTAATGATATTTATATAATATAGTGTAAGTTAGAACAATTTTATTATATTAGATAGATAGTACAATTACTAAATTAGGAAATGGTAACCTTATTTTGGGATGGACGAAAATGGAAATAGCAAAATTTCAATGGGACGGAGGGAGTATATTTTTTATAATATATAAAAATAAAATGCTAAAAAATATAATTTAAAAAGGTACTACATTCGTTCGGCTATAAGGATCTCATTTACTTTTTGTATGTTGATATTTAAATATTAATTATTATATCAAAACGTAATAAAAATTAAGAAAAAATTGTAAAAATACTTTTATCAGTGTTTTATAATATTAATAGAAGGATATTTGTACAAAAAATTATATAAATACAAATATATTTTTGAAATTAAGTACAATAATGCAAAAGATAAATGTGATCATTAAAGGTGTACAGATATAATATTTTCTAATTAAAAAAAAGAAAAAAAAAAGAAAAACCGGCATAAAAACCCCAAAAATCTTTTTATTGTTATTATTATTATTTTTTTGGTACAAAAAAAATAATAGTCGAATCCAGATAACCGATAAGGTGTCTAGGAATAACCGTGGATTCCAAAATGCCCAATCTTCTCCAAATAATGTCTGATCAAGATGATCTATGTGGTGGACTCCGTTGTTGTGCCAAATGCGAAAACAAAGAAAGAACATAAGCTCCTTTGTCATCTCGGACGTCGCTGCTCCATCTCAAAACGATTTTGCGCTTTACATTTCGAAGAGATTCTACACCTTTAACCTGATCTCCTATCAATTGATGATTAACTGCTTGGCGGAGGAGCTATTTCTCTCTGATTTTTTAGATTAAAGAAGTAACACCGATGTCGGTGTTCACCAACTGGCAATCGTGTGGAGTAATCATTATGATTGTACTAAGTGGCGGAACCAGAATCCAATGAAAAAGGAAGACTTGATTTTTAAATTTTTTAAAATAACACAACTTAGTTATACATGTACAGGACCCAAAATATTGTACACCGTACCAAATTTTTTAGTAAATTAAAAAAATTATATATATACCAATATGGTACTGAATATTTAATATATTAAAAATAGGTATGACAAATGTGACGGAGGCTACAGTGCTGAATGTTAAATTCAATATTGTGTTGAATAGCACACCGTGTGCTACAAGACAACACATGGTGTTACCATAAATAACACACAGTATACTTTAATATAATACAAATACAACATATAACCTGACATCACATGATATAGTCTCACACAACACATACAATACTTGATTTCAGCACATGACATACTCTCATACAACACACACTATAATAATGAACTAACAACACATGTTTTTATCACAAACATCACATGTTGTATATAATAAAGACGTGTACTATTTTTATATTTTACGTGTGCTGATTTGGAGAATCAACATGGTGATGATTTTCCAAATTCAGCACCCTAATCTTTCCCGACAAATGTATATTCATAATATAGTATCAGTATATACGATTTCATACGAAATATTGAAACTAAATAAAATAATTTTGATATTTATATATTAAATTATTAATATAAGCCGATTTATCGAATACCAAAATATCAAAATGATACTAAATATTTTTGGTATATACATAGCAAAATATCAATAGTATTTCAGTATTTGATACTGGATGAAAAATTTCAATATATTAAAATTTCTATATATTTTATAATAAATAAAATTAATAAAAATTTAATATACCAAAATTTTAATAATTTTTAATTATTTTTGTTGACTATATATAGTTTTAAATAATAAATACACTATAATAAAAGTTAGGGTGGCAGTAGAGGGACCTCCTTGACCCTGCATAGTTCCGCGAATGAGTAACTGCATGTCTGAGAGCGTGGAGGAGGGGTTTGTATTTTGGATTAGGATTTGAACATAAAGATTTTTTTAATGTGAATAATTGTATAATATAATATAAATATATATTAATATGATGTTTTAAATATAATTAATATTTTGTATAATATAAAAAAAATAAAAAATAAATATTTAATTGATATATTTTGAAAAAAAAAAAAAATAAATAGTAATATTTGGAAAAAATTTCCCAAACAAACACACCCAGGAGTATCCTGTGGTAACTCTTATCCACCATGGTAATGATTATCGTCTCATATGTTTCAAGAACAATTCAAATCAGTTAGGGTGTGTTTTTGTGGGCCATGGGCAGAAATACTGTGCAAATACTGTTTGGTTTTGGAGGACACGGTCCGACAATGTTTTTTTATTTTTGGTTTTTAATTTTTTTAAATTATAAATAAAAAAATTATAATAATTATAATTGAATAAATCATATACAATATATATCATTTTGTAGACAATAAAATTTTATAATACACATAAATAAAAAATTATAAATATATATGTAGATATAAAATAAATTTATAATTAATATTATACAAATTAACACACATCTATATTATTATATTTATTACCATCAAATCGATATATATCAAAATTCTCCAAACTCAACCCAAACACAAAAGAAACACATAAATTCAAACTCACTCCAAAATTCAAATAAAAATCAAATTCAAACTCAAATTTCCCCTAAACAAACACACCCTTAGCCTCTTACGTAAAACAATGGCAGTATAGTTTTAGCACTTCATGGATAAGGAAATTTGAATCATCTAGGCTTACAGAAGCTATAGATAGGATTAAGAACTGTAGCATCCAAAGTTTTAAAATTATTTAAAAATTTAGTATAAATTTTGGAATATATATAATTATAATTATTAAAAATATATTACTCCGTCCGTCCCCCTTACCATGTCCATATTGCCTTTTCTGTTTGTCCCACGTCTCATGTCATCTTTTTTTTTTAAAAAAAATAATTACCTATCTTAATTTCATTTTAAAATTTCTACTTTAATTTTTTTTAATTTTAATTAAACTAATTAGTTATGTTAATCTTAATTTATAATGATTTATATTATAGATTAATTATTTTTACTCATACATTTTTAATTATCTACTAATTATACTTATTCTTAATTCCCGTGTGTACAGTAACCAAGACACCCAATGTGGGACGTATGAAGTAATTTATTTCATTCATCCTACATAATTTTGTCATTTTTTATTTATTTATATATGTCCCACATAATTTATTATTTCATTTTTTGAAAATATAATTATATACTTTAATTGCATTTTAAATTTTAAATTTTATAATTTATAATTTTTTTATTCTTAGTTAAATTATTTAGTTAAGTATATATTTTTATTATTTGCTAATTATATTTTATCTAAATTTTTGCATTTACGAGGTCTTTATCTAGGACAGAGGAACCATAAATTTTATAATTTTTTAAATTATTTCTTAAAATATTAAAATATAATTATTTTTTATATTTTTAAGTAATTATAAAAAATATTTTTATTGAATTATAATACATATCACATAATCTTTTTTAAAAAAATAATCTGAATAATGTATATAACCTGCGACATGATCATATTCAAAATATAAAAGTAAAAATAATATAATACATTTTTAAGAATAAAAATATTAACACAGCATTGAAAGCTTAGTCATCTTTGTAAATATCCAATGCTGCCATCTTTAATCTCTATCAATTAGATTAAAATTAATAAATTTCAATTTGAATAAAATCCAATTTGATAAAAGATTTTATAAGACAAAAATTATTCATTTCCCATGTAATTTGGGCCTCTATATACACGAGAATTTAGGTAAAGTATGATTAATAAGTAATTAAAAAATGTATTAATAAAAATAATTATTATATATTAAAAATAATTGTAAATTAATTTTAAGATAATTAAATAGTTTAATTAAAATTAAAATAATTATAAAATTTAAAATACGATTAAAGTGTATAATTATATTTTCAAAAAAGAAAATAATAAATTATATAGGACGAACGAAAGTAAAAAATAGAGACAAATTATATGACACGAATGAAGCAATAATTATGATATACAAACAAGTTTTAGCACCCAAATTTATTTATGGCTCAACCTATACCAAAGAAAGCCTGAATTAGTGATCCACCGCACTTGGCCCGAACCAAACCGGAATCCGATTTTGAACCGTCCAATTTGATTAATATCTGAGAGATTTATGCTTGTACTTTTGTCTTTCTTTATTTTTTATTTTTTAAAAATCACTCTCTCGTCGAGCCCTAATTTCTCTCCTCTGTTCGTTCTGGTTCCTTCGCTCCTGACCCGTGGAGTGCGAGTTCTTCCTTTTGCTGGTGCTGTTCCGCCGTTCCTGTGCGCCCAGCGACTTCCGTGTTTCGGTTTGGCCTGTATTGTTCGATTTGTGTGCTGTTTGTTTGTCCACTGTTTGTATAGGCTTAAATCGTTGATTTCGTTAAGATAGGGGCCAGTGTGTGTGAGTTAGTCCCGATTTTATGTTTTTGTTTTGTTGAGGGACGATTGCGTTCGATTTGGGTGCCTGAGTCTGTTTCAACATTTTTGTTGACTCAAGGTGTGATTTTGAAACTAATATTTCCATGCTTGGTTTGGTTTTAATCGAGTTGTTAAATTCTTAAACTGTTTGAGTTTGTTGCGTCTTGATAAACTGATATTCGATCTAGTCGAAAATCTTACAAAATTGTATCAAGAGTAGAAGTGTGTTCTTCAAGTATTTGAAACACTACTCTAAATCTTTAGAAACAGGTCTTAATTTCTTCAAATATTATTGTCTGCATTGAAGTTAATATTATTACACTAAATTTAGTTCACGCCTTACACTTAAATCGATCTCAATTGCGCAGTTTCCGAAGGAAGTTTCATTCACCAACCAATTTTCGGCTACCAATTCTTCAGTCATGGCTCGTAATGAGGAGAAAGCGCAGTCGATGTTGAATCGGTTCATCGCCATGAAAGAGGATGAGAAGAAGAAACCCAAGGAACGCCGCCCCTACCTTGCTTCGGAGTGCCGTGACTTGGCAGAAGCTGACAAATGGCGCCAGCAAATCATGCGTGAAATTGGGCGCAAAGTTGCAGAAATCCAGAACGAAGGCCTCGGAGAGCATCGCCTCAGGGACCTGAATGACGAGATAAACAAGTTGATTCGGGAGAAGACACACTGGGAGCGGAGAATTGTGGAGCTCGGCGGACCTAATTATACGAGGTATTCTGCAAAGATGACTGATCTGGACGGCAACATAGTTGATGTTCCCAATCCTGGGGGCAGGGGACCGGGATACAGGTACTTTGGGGCCGCAAAAAAGTTGCCTGGTGTCCGGGAGTTGTTTGAGAAACCTCCAGAATTACGTAAAAGGCGCACAAGGTATTTTGTTCCTTTGTTCTGTTTCTTTTTTTTAGTTGATCTTACTGGTTCAACTGGAAGGAGTGCTGGAATGAAGTGGAATGTGGTATATGGATTAATTTTGGAAGATTTTGTGCTTGTTATGTGTTTGTGTGTGTTCAAATTAAAAAATGCTATGCATCAATTAATGGATTGTTTAAGTTTTTGAGGCATGGATAAAATTGTATTTAGATGTAAGTTTTGTTGTTTATACAAGAGAATATTTGATAGTTCAAATTATGAGGACAAAAAATTATAGTGAACTAGATTGTTTGTGCTAATGGTGCTTGACAATTCCTTTACAGGTATGACATATACAAAAGGATCGACGCTAGGTATTATGGTTATAGGGATGATGAGGATGGGATATTGGAAAAACTGGAAGGGCCTGCAGAGGACAAGATGAGAGCTTTGGCTGTGGCAGAATGGACACAAATCGAAAAAATAAAGAAGGAAGCTAGGATGGGTGTGAAGAGTGGGGAGGTAGCAGAGGCGGGTACTGTATCGAAGATTTTATTTGAGGAGGAAGAGGATGTGGTGGAAGAAGAGAGGAGAAAAGAGAGGGAGAAGGAGGTGGAGAATGAAAAGGAATTTGTGGCACATGTCCCACTTCCAGATGAAGAGGAGATTAAAAGGAAGGTGCTGGAGAAGAAGAAGAAGGAAATGTTGGATAAATATACGAGCAGTGAGTTGTTGGAGGAGCTGATGGAAGCGAAACAATTGCTTAAACCACAACAGTAGATGGTATGTTTACTGTTCAATTTTCGATTGGACAAGCTGACTGAATCTGACAATTCTCAGGGGCATTAGTGCAATTGTTTCTGTTTGTGTTTAGTATTAACGTGTCATAGGTAGCTACACTATTGTGAACTTACTAAGCTTCTTATTCATGATAAATATATTTTTGTTCTATAACTTGGTTTGAAAGTTATTAGGTATTTTGGTGATGGTGATATGATACTTAGTTCCATACTTGATCAATTAAGCATATGTGGTTGTACTGCATCACAGATTGTTGGACTTAGTGAACTTATGTGTTAGATTTCTTTTTCGTGACAAAATTCCTTATTTCTTTTTAATAACTTAGTTTGAGATCTATGACTATGTGGTATTTTGGTTATATGATCACTCATTTCCTAGTTCAAGACATTACACTAAATCCTTAAAAAGTTGGTGCATTTGTTTGTAAGTGTAGGTGTTTTTTGCCTTCTACATTTAGGCTTTGAGCAGTCCTTTGTGAACTATTAATTAACTTTAAAGTAAATGAAAGTAGATTCTAGTGAACAATCGAGGTTGTTGGTGACATCATCAAGTACAATTCGATTGTACCACTCTTAAGGAGCTTAAGTACCTATTTATGAGAGACTATGACATTGAAAGATTTTGAGGATAAATTCATGAAAAGAAAAAAAACACAAACTAGGCTCTACATAAGATTGAAGTTATAAGTTATACCACTTTTAGTATTAGCAAGGTCTCACTTTTGAATAAATGATGTTGACAAAGCAATGATATTGTTAGCTCCCCTCTAATGAATATAATATGTTATTGTTAGTATGATTGTCGGAAGAAAAGCTTTTTTTTTTTTTTTTAAAAAAAATTATTATTGTTTTGTATTCTATCTGAATTAAAAAAAAAAAAAAAAAGGAAAAAGATAAGTTAGAACTTAGAACACAAGAGTTTGACTCGCGATGTCCATTCTAGAGGGCGTAGCCAAAGTTGCAAGCTAGAGAAGAAATAAATGTGTCTAAGGAGATTTGATGAAAGATTGTCCCAAGCTGCAAGAATATTGAAGTTGAAGCATGTGTAGCTAATAATGATGGGATAAGACTATTCATTAGCTTGTGCCGCATTGGTAACTAGCACAAAAAGTTACATGTTAAAGTCCGGATGTTTCCATATATGTTTTAGGATGATGGAGTTGTGATAGTTGTCTACCTACCCAACAACCAAGCTTTCCAAATAGCTGGATTTGGTTCAAACTACTTGATGAACTAAGCTGGAACAACTAGGATGTTAATAGATGTGCGGTAGATACCAAATTTTTGAACTCATATATGTGGGAGCCTTAGAATCCAAAGGTCACTTAGGTCAACATACAAAATAAGATTCTAAAAGTATATTAGGAGCATTTATTGTAATGAGTGGTATAAGGAAAAACAACTATTACAACTTTCAAGGCAATACCGTGGTTGCCATAGCAACAATAGTATCAACAAGCAAAGAAGAAATGACCAAGTTGCGGTATATGAGATTTGGACATGTAGGAGAAACAACTCTTTTAGACTTTGGCAATTATTTAAGGCTACAAATACTTTCAAACTTGACTTTTGTGAGCAATGCATTGTTGAAATGCGAACTAAGTGAAGTTCGGCACTGGAATTTGTAACACTAAAGATTACATTCACTTAGATGTGTGGGGACTAACTAAGACAACATCTTTGGGAGGAAACTTTTACTTCATTACTTTTGTATTATTATTTAAATTCGGCCAAAATCCATACTTTCATCCGGGATCAGATGATTTGACCTTTCTTGCTGAATCCTTTGATAAATCTTGGACATTTTCGTTATCGGTCATTGAATTAGAATTAGTACAAAAAAAAATATAAAATATGAATAGAATTAATTCAAAAACCAAGATACTTAAAAAATAAATCATTAAAATAAAATAAGTTAAACTAGAATTATAAAATCCATTCACAAAAATAGCTTTATATAAAATATTTATGTATAACAATAAATATATATAATTATATATAATTTCCTACGAATACAACACACATATATATATATATATAGTTGCCTACAAGTACAAAACAATACATTATATATATTGCTTGTTAATTGAGTATATAATCACGCAGTTTGTTCTATAGCTTCAGCCTAATATTTAGAAAAATAATTATTAATATAAAGTAATAGCCAACTAAATTGTGCAGTATATATAATAAAAAACGTATGTATATAGTGTATATATATATATATCATATACTTAGCCTAACACACTGCACTAGAAAAGACTGCATTAGAAAGAAACTAGTCTAACATAAACACACTGCACTAGAAAATAATAATAATATAAAATACTACACTAGGTACTGACTCCTTATGCATTAACTCTGCAGTCTGCACTCCTATCCACCAACTCCTCTGCAGTACTACTTCATTACTTCATTAATAATAAAAAAATCATATATATATATATATATATATATAATATACTAACCTACTATAAGATTAAACAAAGAACTTAAGATGTTCTTACCAACGACGGCAAGACAAGAGGGGGACGAAAGACAAAGGCGGATGGGAGCGGCAGCAGAATCGGGTGGGACTAAGTTAACAGAGGTGAGATTAGGTTTAAATAAAGTTGAGTTTAGGACTGAGTTTCATCCTTAGCCCTTAGGGCTTGGTGTATTTAGAATAGATTTAAACTCTAATATGGGTTTAAAAATTAGATTAGGCTGAATATAGGGCCTTAAGCTGGGCTTGTCGATATATGGTGTCGCCACAGGGACGCCCGGACGCCAGCCTCGCCGAACGGCGAGGCTACCTTTCCTGGCGGTGTCATCACCGCCAGGACGACTACGCATCGCCTAGGCGACGCCGTGGCAACCTTGGTTGAGAGGCTTAACGGTTGATGGATTCTGGGGGTGCAACGGGACGTTGTAGTCTCAAGTAGGGCAGAATATGATACCTCTGAAGTTGAGTATTGTTTAAGTGAATCGATTAGATTACTTATGTAAGTAATGTGCATATTTTTTTTCGGGAGCTTACTTGCAAGAATTACAGATATAAGTGTACTAGACAGACTTGTGTTGACATATCTATTATTCTAATACGCCTAACTTGCGGGTCTTACGAGCCGGAGTATTACAATTCTATACTAAAGATAAGTGTGGGGAAATTCCTTGTTTGGAAGATAATGATGGAAAACTTGGAAATATGATTAAAGTACTTTGATCCGTCGATCAAATTGCCTATCCTAAAAAAATTATTATAAGGAAAGATTATGGTTCCTAGATATCCAATCAATCAATTCAATAAACCATAAATTTATGTGAAAAGAAAATGTGAGTGGAGTCAGGGAGGGGGAAGACAATGCCACTAAATTAAAGTTTCTATCACTCTATTTGGAATAACCTTTTTCTTGATATGTGTAAAAATGAAGGTATCTCTTGACACTTTACAATAAAGGATACACCGCAACAAAATAGGGTAGCTGAACACATAGATTAGAACCTTACTAGAGAAAGTTCGATTTAGATTAGAACCTTGCTAGAGAAAGTTCGATTTATGTGGTCTAATGTTGGTCTGGGCAAGCAGTTTTGGGCTGAAGTTGTTGCATATGCTAGTTGTGTTATAAATTGGATACCATCAGCAACACTTACAGACAAGATACTTATGGAGGTATGGTCTAGCTAACCTACAAATGATTATGAGTCTTTACGTGTGTTTGGTTCTACAACATACTATCATGTAAAAGAATCCAAGTTGAGTTCTTAAGCGAGAAAAGCATTACTTATGAGAAAAATTATGACTCACTTGTGGTTCTGAAAGTCTGCATCAATCTTATTTATGATTTAAAAATTGCATTAGACTCTCTTGTGTTTTCGAAATATTACACAATTCTTTTTTATTTTTTATTATTTTTATTTTTTTTGTAAGGGATTCTATGTAGTATTTCTAAAATTACAAAGGAGTCTCATACAATTTCTTGGGAATTATGTGCAATATTTTCTAAAAAAATAAGGGAGTTTTGTGTAATATTTAGATCACGGGGAGTATGGTGCCGATTTTTCAAAACACAATTGGATTACAAATAATTTTGCCTTATTTATGGGTATCATATTAGCTGTAAAATGATACCAAGACAACATATCTAGGAGCTAACCATTACATTATTACACTTGTTGATGAATTTTTCAGAAGGGTATGGGTGTATCCTTGCGAACTAAAGATGAAGCGTTTGAGAAATTCCTTGTTTGAAAGTAAGTGATGGAAAACCATACTAATAAGAGATTAAAGTACTTTGATATGACAACATCACATATCGAAATGAGTCTTTCTCGATATTTGTAAGAAATAGGGCATTTTCCAGCACTTTACAGTAAGGGATGCACCACAACAAAATGGGGGCGACTGAATGCATGAATGAAGCGAAAGTTCGATGTGTATTATAAAATGTTGGTTTAAGCAAACAATTTTACGCTGAGGCGACAACATATGCAAGCCATCTTTTTAATTGTCTACCATCAACTACATTTACACTACAAGAAAATATTATTTTTGTAACAAAGTTTTTTCGTTTCTAAAACTACTATTTCCCTTACTAATGATATTAAAAACGGAATCAATGATGAAATTATATTAGCAATATACTTTTGGAAGTATGGTCCAATCTGCAAATGATTATGATTCTTAGTGTGTTTTATGTTCCGATGCATATAATCACGTAAATGAATCCGAGCTAGATCCTGACCGAGAAAGGCATTATTTATGGGCATCGCATCAAGTGTAAAAGAATATCGACTATGGTGTCTATCCTCAAAGAAAATCATTGTTAGCAAGGATATAGCCTTTAATGAATGTTCAATGATGAAATAAGTAACTATGGAGGAAAGAAATGTTAGATGACATTTATCACCGGGGAAGTTTGTAACACGTGGAGGGTGTTTGTAATGAAATTAGAAGATGGTCTACTAGTAGAAGATGATATTGCATAAGTGGGAGAAAAGCCGATAGAAGATGTTTCAATCCAAGAACCTTCGTAAGAGCAGAATTTATCAATTGCAATTCGAAGGCCAAGAAGAGAGATTCCAAACCTAGCCAAATTTCTAAGTATGATGGCTTATGCATTTCAAGAAGGCATACCTCAACATTTTGTTGATGTACGTAGTAGTCTAGATAAAGAAAAGTTGAAGAAAGCTATAGATGAAGAAATGCATCCCTCAAAGGATTCTCACACATGAAAGCTAAGCTAAATTGCCAAAGAAACTCCCAACACTATTGATACAACTAATGCTGATGCACTTTCGGGGAAATAGTTTCTTTCAAAACAGAATAATCTTTATTCCTAATCAACGACAAGTTGGCATGATATATTTATGGGGTCTCGAGTTAATTTTGTGATTCAGCACCCAAAATTTTCTATCATACAAGGTCTACTTAGCGGTCTAGAGGGGACTTGTAGGATTATATATGTACTCAGATATATATATATATATATATATTGCATCATTCTATTGCTTATATTATGGTTATTTTTGTTACAAATAATGAAGTTTTTCGAATCATGTTCTTTAAGCAATTCAACTCTATTTGATCTGTTATATTCAATGAATGTCTATTTACTTTTATAAGTTAATAAACATGACCTTAACTATTATTTTGCTTTATTTCTATTATTGTCTTCATGACAAACAAAACGTACTATCTTTTCAGGATCATGTAATTGTGAATCTGAAGATGGAATGTCTCAAGGTTTAAAAGGAAAGACATCAATTTCTTCAATTATGTAAGAAGGGCGAAAGCGACCATCAACCATGTAGTTAAATGTTCCTTCCGTGATGCAATGATCTAGAATTTGCACAAGCTGGGAAGACACTTGCTTGCCTACAAAAAAGGCTAATTGCTTATATGACCAAAATATTGTGCGAGAACTCCTATTTGTTTAATTTACATGTGTATATGCATGTTGGTGAAACAAATTCATCTTGGTAATGTAAGCTGAGGCTCTCTAGGCTCTGTTTTTGTTCATTCTTCTGTACAAGTATTGTTCGTACAATTAGAACCAACTCAGATTTAATATTGCAATTGAGCCCTAAAATTAGAATGAGTTTGAGCCCATGGGCCCGCCTGAGACAAAATCGGTACCTGGGTACCAAACAGTTCGGTCACGGTCCAAAAGATAAGGATGATTTGGAACGAGTTGAGTCAGGCAAGAAAACGATTATGCTACTACACATGAACAATCTCTGTTGGTAGTTCGGTGTATTTGGCAGTTGCAAGTGCTCGACCTGGGAGGCAGAGTTTTTTGGGAACAAACCAATGGGGGTTATCCCACGATTCCTGTAACCGAATAACCGACGGAGGATGCGCTTTCAGACCTCAGGATAAATATCTGGAGTCGGGGTCTGAAAGAGACCCCCTTTTTTTTTCCATCTTTTAATTTCCTTTGTAATTTTAGTTCATATCTGTAAGTATTTCTTTTCGGTTGTAATTCTCAAGTTTAGGGATTTGTTATCTCAAGCCTACCCATCAAGTTCGGATTTTATAATTTGAATTTTACTTTGTTTTTGTTGACATATAATCCTAATTCAACAAATTGGCAACCACAGTGGGAGTCATGACAAGATCGCTGATCCTACTTCTCATGAAAATTACATACGTCTCCGATCTGGCCAAATCATCGGAAGGATTCACATGGAAAATTCACAACCACAAACTTCCAAGACATCTGTTGGTGTCTCTATGTCAGTCACACCTTCTGTCTCGACTACATAAGGAATGACTAAAGTACCAGCTGAATGACTAGCATATGTTCAGCAGTTGAACAATAACAGACATAAACCATGCAAGCAATGTTGCACGACCAAAAAAATCTGATGCAAAATATATTGGATTAAGCTTTTTAAGGGTCACTCTACACCCTTTCTCAACGCCATCGGGGATATCACCCTCCCGACTTCAGGCAAACTTTCCTAACCCATCCTATGTGGATAGCACCATTCCGAGTGTTACTGCGACAAATAGGGTGGACAGAGGAAAATCTTTACTCACATATCCCAACAACGTGCCATTAAGGACAAGACTTGAATTCATTCCTCTGGTCTATCCACACGAGGAACCGCTAGGAGGGCAGACTCATGATCCTAATCCTATCCCCAATCATCCACCACCGAGGATTGATCCGGAAGAGGTGGCACAAGTTCTAAGGGTGCACTTCGGAATTAACCCTCAGATTGCCATTCGGACGGCCTATCAAAGGCCCTTCGCAAAAAGGATCATCAATGAACACCCACTCCCAAGGAATTACCGACTTTCCGACTTTCATACATTCTCTAGAGAAGACGATACTTCGACCACCGAGCATGTCGAAAGGTTCACAACACAGTTGGGGGAAGTTGGAAACAACCCCCACGTAAAACTTCAACTTTTCCGATTGACATTAACAAAAATAATATTTTAATGGTTTGTCAATCTCCCACTTGGGCAAACACATACTTGGAAAAGTCTGGAGGCTGCATTCCACACAGATTTCTTTAATCCGGTCCCAAAGGTATCCCTTACCGACCTTTCAGAAACAAGACAGATGCCCGAAGATAACGCCCCTTAATTCATAAAGTGAGTTTGGCTTTTAAAGGGATGTTGTCCGACTGCCATTGATGAGGGGGAGATGACCAACTTGGTGGTCTCAAACATGCATGCACGATTAAGAGAATCCCCTACAACCTAAGACATTGAAAATCTAGCGCAATTAGCCTCCAAGGCAAGTCGGTTGGAATATCTTTTAAGAGAAAATGATAAACACTTCAAAAGGGGGAAGATACTATAATTTATTTTATATTTATTGCTCCCATTGAAATTATCAAAATATTTATTTGATATAGTAATATTATTTTATATATTTCAAAATCGGGTATTACAGATATACATAAATTATATTCTACGTATTTTATAGTTAAATTTATTTATGTTTTTTTAATCATATAGAATAATTAAAATTATAAAATAAAGTTTTTATATAAACCAATTAAGTTAATTTCAATCTAATCATCGAACAAATCTGGTAAAGGCCTAGTCTTAATTATAAAACAAGTTTATCAATGTTCTATTTAATTAGTACTACAAATCATATTTATCTTATTATAGACATTAAAAATTAAATGTCTAAATTAAATTAAATATCATGTATTTTGAAAAAAAAAATAATTTCAATAAAATAAATATATGGTATTTAATTATGCACATATGTTAATTTTTGTACAATAAATATCAACCATTAATGCAAAAATCTTCTTAAAATGGAAGATATCGTACAAATATTACATGCATAAATAGAGCTATAATAAATTTGACAGTAAAATAAATTAATCTTGTCAACAGAGGAAGTATATAAATTAATATCTTCTGAAAAAGACAATGATATAAAGATCTTGGCGAGAAAAGAAGGTGAACAATCAAATCCGTCAAGAATGGAAAACTGCATTTGAGGGAAAATGAAAAATGATAAGATCTTCATGTTTGGCCAATCAGGACTCGCCATGTGGCATCATTAAAAAAGGAAGCCGATGTCACCTTTCCCCTATAAATAGAAGCCATGACCAGTTCATTTGACACACCGAAGTTACATCGAGGATTCAAACAAAGGGGTAAGTCTCTAGACTCTCTCTGCATTGTTCTTCATGTTCTTCGTGTCCTTCGAAGCGTTCTTCATTGAAAAGTCACCGATTTGGACAAATGATTCAATATTGGTTGACGAATCGATGAAGTTAACATTCTTCGTCGTATGCCTAAGCCGGAGGAAGGATTAAAGCTCTCAAAGCTGTTGAGGAATTCGTCAAAGTCAAGGGAAGGTCTCCAAAGTTCCTCTCAACGCTTCAAGATGTTCATCGCGTTCTTCAACAAAGCATCAACTAGGTCCTATTTGATCTAAAAATCAAAGGAACACGCCACCGAAAGTGTTATGGAGCACCAAATCCACCTCTTCAAGGATCAAAGTCGCGGATCATCCAAAGAAGACATCAAATCCAAATCTGAGGATCAAATCACCCGCATGGAGACCAAAACCCTTCAAAAGCGGCAAAGACAAAGCAAAGATCAATGTCGCGGATCGTCCAAAGAAGACATCAAATCCAAAGCTGAGGATGAAATCGCCCGCACGGAGACCAAAGCCCTTTAAAATCCGGTAAAGACAAACCAAAGATCAAAGCCTTGGATCATCCAAATAAGACATTAAATCCAAAGTTGAGGATCAAATCGTCCGCACGGAGACCAAAGCCATCTGAAAGGCGGCAAAGTCAAGTCAAAGCTCAAATCCGCCAACAAGCTGGATTAAATATCAAAGTCGCAGATCGTCTAAAGAAGACATCAAATCCAAAGCCGATAATCAAATCGCCCACATAGAGACCAAAGTTCTCTAAAAAGCGGCAAAGCCAAAGCAAAGATCAAAACTTCGGATCGTCTAAAGAAGACATCAAATCCAAACCCGACGATCAAATCACCCACAAGGAGACCAAAGCCCTCCAAAAAGCGGCAAAGCCAAAGCAAAGATCAGAGTCTCGGATCGTCTAAAGAAGACATCAAATCCAAAGCCGATGATCAAATCACCCACACGGAGACCAAAGCCCTCCAAAAAGCGGCAAAGCCAAAGCAAAGATCAAAGCCTCAGATTGTCTAAAGAAGACATCAAATCCAAAGTCGATGATCAAATCGCCACACGGAGACCAAAACTCTCCAAAAGGCGGCAAAGCCAAATAAAAGATCAAAGCCTCGGATCGTCCAAAGAGGACATCAAATCCAAAGCCGAGGATTAAATCGGCTGCACGGAGACCAAATCCCTCCAAAGTCCGGAAAAGTCAAACCGAAGACCAAATATCTTCGGATCAAAGAAACCATCGAAAATCAAGTTGAAAAACAAATCGACCCGGAAAGAGAATCAAAGGACCCATTTAGATAATAAGACCATTTTTAAATCCAAATCAAATATAATTTATACAAATTTTCTATTTATTAAGAATAGCACAATTTTTTATCCACACTTATAATTGATTCTAGATAAATAAATTTTAGCTCAGATAATGTTTATTTATTAAGCTATATGTAATTTTAATTTTATTTATCATATTATTTTTATGATATAAGAATAATTACATATTTTAAAACAAACTATGTCACATTATCTATTATATCAAAATAGATTTTTTCAAATTTTATTATATAATTATATTATCTTTATTTATGTATAATAGAAGAATATTTGTAAAATTATTATATTTTCATTCACCTACCATTTCTAACCAAACACAAAATACTACTTTTCATTCCTTTCTTTCCCCTCCATTTATATGAATCAAATATACTATTACAATTTTAATATTATCTCCCTTCTCATTGCCTCTTTTCCTTTCTAACAAAATTCCTCCATTTTCCTCCCCTCTTTTGTACTATACAGACCATTCATTTCTAAAAAGCCTTTGAATTAAAATCCTTCTTTCTTCTTCTTCCATTCTAATCTGTATCGTATTGTTATACTCTCTCTTGTTCCTACACGATTACCATTTTTCGAGCTTTTTTGGTTCTGATTTGTTTGTCTCAATTCAGTTGCTTCCAAACTTTATTGAGTTTTCTCATATTTGGTTGATTTGTTAGATTATTTGTTTTGGTTTCTTTAATTGGAGCGACGGGGGAGTCATGAGATCAAGGATTTGATCATAAGGAAGGAGACTGAGAGGAACCGGCTGGGGATCGGGAATAGATTAGTGGTGGTTATATTTCTTCATTCATCCGCATAGATAGATCAATGTTGGTTTTGGGGATGAGGTGCTTCATGGCAAAGCAAAGCGGAGACTCCCATAGTAGTATATAAATTAGGTTAAAGTGAATTTAATTGGTTGTTGGTGATAGATTTAGGAGAGATAACAATTTTCGTAAGCTATTTAGGTTCATACATCAAGGATAACATGCCGAGACGGATAAGAGACATGCACAATATTCTCGGACCCCAAGTAGTTCCCAAAATATTCCCTACAATAGGG